AAAAAATCATGTTTGAGTGTAAATGCAGTTTTCAGAAAATTCCCTGCAAATGCAGTTTTCAGAAAATTCCCTGCTCAAAAGTTCTTGTCTCTTGCACTGATTTCTTCTTTTAACATTGTGAAGCTCTACTTAGAACCTTCTTAAGATCCAATAGTGCAAAATGCAAATTCTTGCACTTTTTTAACTGGTCTTAAGATTTTGATCAGGAGTGTATTATCTCATCTACAAATTTTAATCTTTTAGTGTTATTACCATTTAATTCAAGAAGCAACAAAACAGTGACTCAAACAGTCCTGATGCATCTCAGTAATCCAGGTAAAAAAATCAAAAAGAAAAAAATTGTATGTGTGCATCAGAAAAAACACTTTTAGCACAACAACAGTTTATTATTTCACATGTACTCATTTCTGCCCTTTTTTAAAACTAAACAATGCAAAATCATTGAATTCATCCATTTTGTCTCTGTTCCTGAATTTTTCAAGTTTCCCCTTCAACACACAATCTAACCATTGAGCACCGATCGGCCTGAAGCTTATTAAAATACGATGGCGTGTTACTCTAATTTAAAGCTAATTAATCACCCCGATGAGCGAGGCTGGCTGAGTAGTTTCCAAAATTGCTCATCCCATTTTCTAGAAAATTATTTAATGCCACTGAGATTCAAATTTAATGCTTTTTAAAGGCCTTAAATTTTGCCAAATCCATTTAGCGACTTTTAATGCTTTTTTTTTTAATGCTCAGTGGAAACCCTGATACAACCCTAATGAGATTTTAAAAATCACAGTCAGAGTGCAGCTGTTTCACTTACCTCTTCCTTCCTCTTCTTGCCAGCTCTCTCCTCTAAGTCTCCTGTAGCCTCGCTGGATGCTTTCCTCTTGCTCTCTCTCTTTTTCTCCTCCTTCTCTTTGTGTTTCTGCATGTACTCTGCAATAAGGTCGGGACAGTCCAAGTTCTCCTCTGGTTCCCACGTATTGTCCTCACTGGACATATGAGAGCAGACCAAAACACAACAAGGAGGAAATTAAGCATATATGCCAAGTATTTCAATAAGCAGATCTGTTTTAGTTTTTATGTACATCATGACAAATTGTTAAAATGCATCTTTTATTGATGACATGATTTGTGCGCGACTTTCTAGTGGACAAAACGCTAACAATGCTTAAGACATTTTTCAGTCTTAAATGAGAATAAATGCTAATAATCAGTCGTTTGTTTATATATATATTTTTTTCTGGTGCATTTGTGCGTGCAGGGGTCATTGTGTTACCGCTATGTGGCATCTAGTTTTACATATTTCTTTATATAAAGAAATATGTAAAACTAGATACTGCATAGTGGTAACATCATGACCCCCGCACGCACAAATGCACCAGAATTCAGAAGTCTTTATTCCAAATAAATGTCATGCTACTAGGTGATTGGTGGGCCTGATGGATAGCCCCTGATCAGAGCTGAACAACAAAAGAAATCTGAAGCTCCTATGTTTAATAGTTTCTGAGTTGTAAGCATTTTTGCATGTCCAGACACCCCTTCTTTGAAAGGAGCCCCCTCCTCAAATATGGGGTCAAACAAAACAGTGAATCTGACTCGCACCTTGTGCGCGCTGCAGCGCACTAGGCTCGGCTCGGCCTTCACGCAGAACGCGTGCATCTTTGCTAGCGATGGAGGGGTTTATATTTGGCGCTTACGTTATTATAGTAAAACAGGACATGTGGCAGAACACTTTACTAGTGAAATGTTGTAGGATAGCCCTGTGTAAATTACATGGGTGAGGGGAGATAGCGTGACGAACAAACTGAATGTCGCGTGCAGCCTTCGCTCGAGCAGCTTGGTCACGCACACAAAGTTGGACATATCTGTTAGATAACGGCTCTCTGAGCATAAATATTTAATATAAAGTTAAGTTTTATAGACAAAAGTCCACGAGTGAAATGAGGGGAGGTTTCACTCACTCAGAGGACTGACCGCTGCACTGCTCCTGCAGAGTCTGCTGCTTTACTGACCCGACTCTGCTCCGCTCTGATTGGATAAAAGTGCGCTGGGGTTTGTTTCATTTGTTGAAAGTAGTGGCGCGACTGGGCGGCTTTAACAACACCGCAACAGAGTTGTTTTTTTTTTCCTCTCCCTTACAGATGACGGAAATCCGTCCTGCCACGTTCAAAGTGACAGAATTCTGTCGTGGTGACAGAGAACTTTAAGCCCTGCTGAAGAAATTTAAAGTTATTAGAGGTTAGTACTGATGTTAAAAGCACAACACTATATTCTTAGGTTTTCCTTTTTGTAATGTTAATATTTAATCTATTATGTTTTGATTGAAATAAGTTCAGTTACATTACTTGGACTTAGCGTGCATTGTTTAAGTGTTCTCTTTATTTTTTTGAGCAGTAGTGTTCCCTTTTTTGAGCAGTGTATATATACAGTATATATGAACTTCCTGGTTTTCCGGTAGTGTTTGTTTCCTGTCAGCTTGGGTGACAATAAACCTCACTCAGATCCAGAATTCTGGTGTTGTATGGTATAATTCCTTCTACAAATCATTTTATTTAACAATTGTGTTTTTAATATCGACTTCAGTTTACTGAATACGAATTTTCTTACACTGCGATAATGAAATTCGTTGCCAACGCTTTAATAATCAATTTTTATCGATTCGTTGTTGCAGCCCTAGTCATAATAAGCCATTTAGGTTTCGAGATCAAATCCAACATGCATCAAAAGTCATTATCATCCCAGCTCTCCAAATTCTAACCAGACATGTAGATCATATAATGGTACTCACTCGGAGAACCCCTTCCACTTTAGCAGGAACTCTACTTTGCCTTTCACCACCCGACGGTCAAGAACTTTTTCTACAACATACTCCTCTTCCTCCTCCTCCTCAGCAGCGGCTGCAGCAGCAGGAGCAGCTGGTGCTGCTGCAGCCGCTGCTACGGTCGTTGCTGCATCTGCAGCTGCTGGTGCCGGCTGCTCCTCCTCCTCAGCCTTCTTGCTCTTCTTTGCTGCTATGGTCGCCAGTTTGACGTTTGCAGGTTACCTGTTGTGGGCCCAAGAAGAAACAGGAAAGGGTGACATTAAATTACAAAACCAGAACAATAATGTAAATCAGTGTATTGGCAACATGTATTGAACTTGGCTGATTTATAGTAACAGTTACTGGAAGGTAAAACAAAACTAGCAACAATCTTAAGCCCCCCTCTCTATTGCCAAGTCTAACTCTTTGGTTCCGCTCAGGTTTGTGTGTGTGTGTCCTTCAATCTATTGCCAAAAAATATTTACTTTGTTTGTTTTTATTTACGGAATTATGTCAACAGACGCTCTGCCTCCACTGCCTCCGTTCCCACGTGCGCTATGATGCAGTTTACTTGGCATTCCCTCAAAGGTATTTTGAATCTGAAAAGAGCTTCACTGAGTGAGAAGTAGTGGATCTCAGCTGGGGCTGGAACTAACGATAGTTTTAATAATTGATTAATCTGTCAAATCATTAAAACACTTAATTACATAAATATGAGTAGATATGAATTAATTTCAGTTCTGTATAAATTAAGGATGCAAGTTATTAATAAATTAATTAATCTGAAGTTGATTTATCTTACAGATTGACTAACAATTAATTGATAAGCAACCATTTTCTTAAAAACTGGAGTTTTCTCTTGAATCAAGAGGGTCTTTTCATTACATGAAGGATTTTGTTTATAATCTCCTGAATTAAAAACAACAGAAGCACATCATACAGCGGGTAAAATAAGTATTGAACAC